AAAACAAAACAAAACAAAAACAACAACCTACAGCAATAGGTCCATAAATTCAGCAACAGATGCAAAATCTCTTCAATACGTAACTTTCTGATTGAAATGCTATGAAAACTAAAGAAGAAGTGAACATTTATAAATATGAGTAAGTGCTGTAAGTCCTGTAACTCCTGATTGTTGAGTTTTAAGGAAACTCTGTTTATTAAAATGAAGAAAATCAATATTTTACACACAAATCTGAGTATAAGACAAAACACTAATCCACAGGCTGGATTTACCCACTTAGGAGCTCAGAGGCAAACCTTTGTTGTTGGACCCCTGTTGGCCCCCACTCTGTGTGGCAGCCTCATGATTCATGAAAATCATATCGCTGATTTTCCCACAATTCAATTAAACCAACAGCAACAGATAATGTGATGTGGATTAAATCTGGAACTGCCATGCGCACGAACATCAAATGATCATTAAAAAATCTTTGACATCCACTGATTTGTTAAAAACCTCATGTCATGTGTCCCATCATCCCGGTGCTGAGGCAGTATCTACATCTCAGCGGCGATGGAGGCGTTCTTCACCCCTGCACCAATCACAGCAAAGAACACATTTGGGAAAAAGGACCTGGCGTAAATGGCCATCTTAGGGAGCGAGGGAGCAATCACCACCTCTTTCCTCTTATTGTTTAAAGTCTTCACAATCTCTGCGGCGGCTTCATCAGGAGAAACGCCGAGGGGCTTCTTAGTGTACAACACTGCAGTGAGCCGACAGGAAGAGGAAATAACACTCAGCATTTTCAACAATAAAAGAAGTGTTTGAACATCTGTCTTGCCTCCTCTGAGTTTACTCACACGACCACAGGGATTTGGAGGTGGCTGGGGCTCCAGACGCAGAGCAGCTGATGAAGTTGTGGCTGATGGTGCTGACGGAGATGCCGTACTCCTCCACCTCCGCTCTCAGGCAGTCAAAGAAGGCCTGAACAGCGTGTTTAGAGGCTGCGTCTAAGATACAGAGTGAAACCTGTCATCATCTGCTCTGAGGAAACAGCAGGAATAATCGAAACTTTTTTTCTAATCTAATCTAAACTCTGTACTGGAATTTTAAAATGTTTACATTCAAATTTTTAAATATCGTCTTTGAGGGAGTCTGAAAACTTTGATAATGGATTGTTTTAAGTCATTTTTAACATATATATATATAAAAAAATGATGTTTCATGAAAAAGGGAATTTAAAAACTTACAGGTACTGCGAAAAGGCACAGCTAGTCTCCCTTGGATGCTGTTAACCAGCAGCAGGTGACCACTTCTCCTGGAGATCATGGAGGCCAGCACGCCTGGAAGAGAAATTCAGCCTTCATCGTCTCACCCTTAGAAGGTCAAAGTTAAACATGTTCCCATCATCTACCTTTAGCCAGAGTGACGGGCCCAAAGTAGTTGTTGTCCATCAGCAGTTTGTCCACCTCCAGAGACACAGTCTGTGCTGGAGCTTTCACCTTCATGCTGCTGTTAAAGATAATAATATCCAGGCACCCATAACAGTCCAGGATCTCTGCGATTGCCTCAGGCATGCTGTCCGTATCTCCAAAATCCAGCAGCACCAACTTAGGAGGAAACGTCTGAAGAGGAGAAACAGCATAGAAGAGGAGGTCTGCATGGCAGCAAGGTGCTGATTGGTGACTACATCTCATTTACTTTCACTTGTAATGCAGTACTTATGATTTGAGCAATTAAAATCTGTTTATTAGTAGTAATAGTAATAGCAGTAATAATAG